CATAAGAAGACCAAAACCAACAACATGTTAGTCCATCCTCAACACTTTCTGACTTACAATCCTTATAAGCGGGAGAATTTCACCACTTTCATAAAAAAAGCTAAATAATTGATTAAACCACTGGGCACTAGTTGTTTATTTTGTCAATCTTATTTATAACTGCGTTTTGTTGCTCTACCAAGTAGGTTTGGTAGGAAGACGGTATATGTGGACTTGACTCATATCAACTGCAATGCCCATGTTCAATGTGATCAAATAAATGCAAACAGTGTGGATTAATGGTGTATTTTGAATAGTTTTTGGGAAATGTGTTATCGGGTTAAGTCATTGTTGGTTTGAGTTTTTCTATGCGATTTGTTTACACGAGAAAAATATAGAATATCAGCAAACTTATCATCTAAAATGTGGTGATAGTGTATCATTAAGTGTTGGGGTGTTGCACATACAGAGCCTCAGCTGGGTCACCAGTGGGTGAAGGTGTCCCAGTTTATCCCCTCAATGACAAACAGGAACACATGAGGATAAAGATCATTGTGTTTGTTTGTAGATTCTTTGTTTTCAAGTCTTTCAGCTCAAATATCGAACCATCAAACGCTCCAATTTTCGCCACTCTGCCTTGTTTTGTCTAGATTTTCTTCAAGCCGAGTGTCATTGGAGAGTAAACTATGTGTATGCTTTCAGTCCTTTGTATTTTTTCCCTCCGCCTCCCCTTTCTCTCTCACCGGATGTGTGCGAGAGAGCCAATGCGCGCTTGTGTGTGTCTGTGTGTGTGTTTGCAAACGAACGTGTGCAGGCTTTGTTTTTCTTTTGAACATCCCTTTGATGTTGCTGTTTATTTATTTATTTCTCTTCCTGCAAAGGCCCTTCTCGGCGGTTAGGGCTACAGCGGATTGGGCGCGCGTTGCTCTGAGTGCCATCCATCAGCGAGGAGCCTCTCTGACGGATGAACCGGTGACCTCGGCTGCCTATAGCACATCAGCTCGGAGCTGGAGCTGCGCTGGGGGATTTTTGTTTTTTAAGAAGACGTAGTGTAACCAGGAGGGCCTCTGCTTCATCATCACCACCCTGTCTGGCTGGGTATCTTTGTGCGTTACATGTAAAACAACTATTTCATCTCTGGCCAGGAGGTACTGCTTTACTTTGGTTTCCCAATAATAATGGAGCTCTTGTAGTAGTGGGTGTACTTTTTGTTGCTGATTTGATACCTGTGTGTTATCTGCTGTGGCTGAGGCACGTCCAACGCACATTTTGTAATGACTTTCAAAACCATATGGAAAACACTGACTGACCATGAAGCTTCATTGTAAAGGTCCTCCAGAGAGGTGAAATTAGAGCAGCCAATTGCTTTGCTCTGAACGTTGCTGAATCTGTCCATGGTGCTGAAATGACCCGGCTATTGTCAAGTGGGGGTATACAGCATGTCCCAGAATGCAATAGCTGGATAGGCAGATGAGTGAGGTATCAACCTCTAATCAAAGTGACTTGCATATGTTTGTCATTTGACCATGTGATGGTACTTCAAGCAGGGCTTTTCAATAGGAATTTCAATAATTGAGCTGATTCATTTTGAAGGTGTACCCACAAAAGTTCAATGTCTTTTAGTTTTAGTTGCACAAGCAGCTAAATGGTTAGCATAGAGAAAATATAAAATACAATATTAAAAGGCTTTTAAAAAGTAGTTGAAAATGTAACCTTATACACATTCACGACAAGCCAACTAAAACAAAACTGTATTTAAATAAAGAATTGTCCATTTCAGACTTACCTTGACCATCTTTTCCCTCCAAGTTCAGATCCATCCGCCCCTCTCTGTTGATTTCGTGTTCCTCGAAGCAAATCTTCAGACCATGGCTTCCAGGGTTATGTTCAGCCTGTCTTTGACCGAGTGTCTAGCATTCCATGGATGGTGTCTCCTCAGGTGGATAGCCATCATCCATCAGACTGTATGTCTTAACCTGTGGAGTTAAACTTCTGACAGACACCTACTGAGACGCCCTGACAGCTGAAATAAACCCGGACCCTCGTGTCCTTTTGTCTCTGCTTACTCACAGGAGTGTGTCGACTGACATGCATCACTCATTACTCAAGAACACTCTATGCATATATTTCTGTAAGAGGAGTGTCTATCAAATATTTTAAAAGCCATGTAAGCTCCATTTACTCAGCGTTGGAATCTTTAGCCATCCAATTCTATACTTAACAGGTATGGAACATATATAGCAAACTACTTATCATTAGAGCCGTGCAACTTGAACTCACATTCCTGCCGGTGCATTATCGGAGGCTGCTACCATTTCCGTGCCTTGTAAGCATTGCCTTCTCTAAATTCCAGTGGCCCCTCGTACCCGGCAGACAGACGACTGACCTACAGTATGCTGCTGTATGTTTCTCGTGATGCTGCCTTCAGGTGCTGCTAGGATAGAAACACATGTTCACAGACATGTTGGTAAACAGGTAACGTCTCGAATGATATCTCAATCAGTTCCTTCACAGACGTCAGGTTTGAAACAAAGAAAGCTAAAAGGTACATAAGCTGTATATGCATAAAAGGAAAAGCAAACATCTTTGAACAACCCCATTAACTTTTAAATACGTGAATGCTGGAGAACAAGGTAATTATTGGGATTTGAGAACATGTATTTTGAACCGTTTGACAACCAAACAGGTTTTTAAACAAACTCCCAGTTTTACTTCTAATGATGAATTACACATTTTCAGTTGTACCTCCAAATAAAAAGGTTTAGATAACCTCATTAAAGTCTGTTTGCATGATTATTATTGTCTGCTTTGGTACTGTGTTCCCAAAGTTGCAAAAGTAAGACCCAAGTTGTAATAAAATGGATTCTTCCTTTTACAAAGTAAAGACTCAATTTAATGTGGCCATATTTTATATTTTAGGTTAGGCAGGGTCTTGCTCTTAGATTTTCTACATTGTAATACAGTTACAAATGGTTTCCAACATCAACACGATTTATTTCAACTGTAACCTTAGTGAGGTCCAAACTAGCCAGACAGTATCTCAATGATGTCTGCGTCCATCTAAATGAACTCTTCAATGACAAAGCAACTACGAAGCAACTTTATCTCCAAACAGAAAAAAATGGATTTCTGATTGAATCTTGGTTGAAGACCTGTGCAAATAAAACCTTGTGACAATAGCTCAACGTGGCTCAATGACGTCAGTAAGCATTGTAAGTTGTTTTACCTTGTCATTCTCCATTGACAATAAAGGGAAAAGATAATCTGAAAGAATGTATAGAGAAATACGGACTAAGGTTTCTAGCTGACAGTACTTTCAACATAAGAAACATAATGGTGCAGACGTCCACTGTGCATCAATAGGAACCCAAGGCCACAGCACAATAACACTAGGTAGATAAACAGTTTGTTTACTTTTAAACTTTGTCTCAACAGGGGAGAAATTCAAAGGTAGTTTAACATTTGTCATACTCACAGGAATTTATTAGATCCACAGTTATTGATTATTACCAATATTAAAACTAAGAATATTTGTATTTGGGATCTGGCGATGAGCATGTAAAAGTCAAGGTTCAATCAATCTTTGGAATAGCAACACTTTTTTTATTTGACAACGCAAAGTCAACACAAAGTCAACGCAAAGCGCTGATAAGTAAGTAACTGTGTCAGCATAATAATGAATAGAGCTGTTCTTAACCAATGAGCCATTTCATTTAAGTATACTTTGAACAAAAGAGGACCTAGTATGGAGCCCTGAGGTGCACAGTCACTTTCTGGGAATCTGCTCCAGGATATAGTAGTGCCTGGAAAAGAGAAAGTACCTGCCGAAGATAAGATGATTGCTTTCAGTCACTGACCTAACTGCATTTTTTCTATGTAGTGACAGGTACTCACAATATAAAGTTCTTAGTTACACCATCTAACACTTTTACTTACTTTTCCATCCCATTGTACCGTACCAGAGAAAGACCACTCAGTTTTATAAACACAACGTGCCCATTGAGAGGCACTAAATGGGTTCAACTGTATTACTGTATCATTCCCGTTTTAATAGAGCTGTCCTTCAACCACAGCCACCAACTCAGCAGACAAGCTTACATTTCATTTCTATTCCTATTCAACTCATTCAAGATATTTTTCTTCCATTGGTGTTATTTCTTCATTTAAAAATCACTAGAATGCTTTGGCGTTGACCCAACACCCCTGCCCCCCTTTCTTAGTCATAGACTAAGAAAGGATAGATCCAAGGTTTTATAAGCTGTTGAAAACAGATATATGGACTTTCAGTCTGGCTGATGGAAAACAGAACATCTTCCTGCAGCCAGACTGAATTAGACAGGCAAGAAACAACTTGGTCAACTATGTAGCCATGAATTATTCATAAAAGCATTATTAATGAATTAATTGACAAGTGTTTACTTGGTTTGATTACATTTTATTATTGGAGGGTTAAGTCTGATATCACAAAAATCATAACGCCAACAAAGAAACGAAAGGCAAATCCCAAATCTAATTTAGCTTATATTACCAAACTAGGCTTCATATGGGAACTAGTCTGCTCTTCCTTCTGCAGAGACGTGAAAGTGTTCTCAATTGCCGTTTGTCAGGTTTCTTTTTACACATCTAACTATGGTTTAAAGGTCACCTATTATGCAAAATCCACTTTTTCATGTATTTTATACATAAACATGTGTCCCCTCTGTGTAAAGAGATTCTGAAAGTTTCAGGAACAAAGATTAGTTCAACTGTCTGAAAATGAGCTGATCGGATTTTGGCCACTTTATGATGTCATAACGATTCCCCCTAGAGCACCATTGTGTTCTTTTTAACCAAATATATCTCTTGATACCTCATTCACACTAACGGTGTTTCAGGGCCGGTTCGGAGCTGGAGCTTCAAAAGCACCGGGTTTTCCTGTTCACACCACAGCGGAGCAGCCTCTTAGCTCCGGAATCCGGTTCATTTTGAGCACCAACAGATTGTCCGGCCAGAGCAAAAGCACCGCATACGTCACGCTTACGTCGAGGCGGGGGCAGGGGCAGATCAACTCCTGAACAACAACAAAAGTCGCGTTTTTCCAGTTTGTACCAACGAGGAGAAACGTAACAAGAGCAGTGTCCACGAAGAGACCAGCTACAGCTACTGGGAATCTGGTCTCTGAAGAGGTCCAGAGGAAGCTGGAGCACAATCGGCCATTGTGGGTTGTTGTGTGAGCTGGTGAGGTTCCGAGCGTTTTGCTTTATGAAGCAGGACGCAAACGGTTACGCATGACGCAAAACGGTTACGCAATGACTTAGCACAGTCGACTCTTGGGCAGTGTGGAAAAGACGGAGCTAACCGAAGAACCGGTTTGAACCTGAAAAAAGCCTAGGCACGGAGCTTGACGGAGTTGTGTTGTGTGCGTTGTGGAGGGGCGTGGGGAGTGGCTCCTTATTTTCTTGAGTAAGCAGACAGAGCCTTCTCAATCGCGAGGGATTACTGGCTTGGCAGTGCATACTTCCAAGTCACTTCCTTCAGAAACGAGCAAGTATATTCCAACCACGCTTCGAAAACAAAGAAGAATGGAACAGGCTAACAGTGTGCCACTCTCTCTAACGTTTCAACATAAACTGTACCGAAAAATAATCCTCACGATGTCTATCTAATTAGGAACTGCTTTACTTTTCACGTAACCACATTTTGGTGATAAACAAATGGCAACAAGTACATATTTACCCACACATGTTCTACCGCCACTCCATACTTACATTTAAATGTGTGCTGCGATGCGTCGGCTCAGCCATTCTCCGCAAGGGTTTTTGGGAATATGGTCCGTGCGCAAAGCATTGTGGGGATTTGAAGGACGTGAAGTCTACCCATGTGCAGCCTCGAAATTACCCCCAAACCAAGGACATGGCCTCGGTGGAATTCCAAGTATGCTGGAGATTGGAACAGTCCTTCGGCGGCACTCGATGACGTAGTATCCTTGAAATATTGGCTTGGAAGCCAGTTTCCTCGCGATTGAGAAACGGCCAGAGAATCAGCACTTTTGAAATGGGGCTGGAACAGAGGGGATTATGGGATGCATGATCTGTTTGGTATTTGGAGCCAAACACTTCAGAAACATGTTTTGTATATATCTGAGACCTATAATATATTGATGAAAAGGAGTATAATAGGGGACCTTTAAGAAATATGAATAATCATAAACATTTGTTTCAGCTACAAAGAACAATCCCTGCATGCTTTGCTGTTATGTTGCACCAATTCAGATTCAGAATGAAGGTTGATAAAAAAAGAAGCACAAAGTCCTAGGAACCCCCCTGATGGGTGGTGTGCAGAATCTGCCTGACCAGGGTTTTTTTTTCTCTCTCCCTGGAGGGGACAGTGTAAATTCAGCATTTTGATCCCTGAGTGTAATGGAGCGTCCCCTTGTCTGGAGAACCGCTGAGGGATTGAAGCGTGATCAATCACCTCTCCGGACTGTCCGGCCGCTTTACATGTGGCTGAGTCCGAGCTGCTGGCTGGGTGGAGCAATGAAGAAAAAAGGCGTAAAAAGTTTTAAGACACGTGACATGCTTGTGTACGAGCCAAGTTGATGTTTTTCTGATGACATCAATGTGGCATGACTTTCACTTAAAGGAATATTTATTTTGTGTACCTTCAATGAAAGAAAAAAACATTTGAAGTATTTTAGGAGCCTTTTTATGTTGGATGTACCCCACAGTTCATGCTCGAAACAGTTGTTCTTCCCTCTATGGAGAAATAACATAACATCTGATAATCCAAAGCAGTATCGTCCCATGAATGGTCCTAAATTCAGTTAACCACAGTGCTTCACTTAACAAGCATGCCAGCAGAATAATTAATATGTGTTGACCCTCTCCTACGTCGGTCATAGGAGAAGCTATAGGCCAACTGTGTTGTTAAGCATTAAATGAGGGCATTAATACCAGGAGACTCAATTATTTTGCAAATAGTTTGGATAGCACTATAGGTTACGGGAAGCTGCTGACTTTGAAGACCTCTAGCTAGAGACAATGTTTCATTGACACTAATTATAGATACAGTATCAGTATGGCATGATGTGTTTCATTCAAACATCTTGGTAATAATACAAAACACACACATATCATTTAATGTGTATGCCAATATATGCATCATCTGGTTTGTGTCTGTATATTTGTTAGTATTATAAATCAAAACAAAGATATTCATGCCACAAAAATAACTCGTAGTCACTGGATTGTATGTATCTGGTGGATTTGTGTTGCAATGACTTGATGTGGGCAGTAGAAATACACTTGTGATACAGCTCATATCAAAAACGCTCCATTCTACTACATGGCACGGTGTTATGATCGCTATGATTTGGGTTCATTCCCACCTCTATGTCAGCTCTCCACTCTTGGCCGGTAGATCCAGACGTTTCTCTTTACCCATAATCCCCCTGCTGACTCCTTCCCCTTTCTCTCACCTGATTAGAATTTCTGCCGTGGCCTCTGGGATTGGACGATTTCAACATATTTTATTTAACTGCTTTTGTAAGCCCTAATATTCAGCAGCTGTGATCTATGGCTGAATTACAATTTTCAGGGTCAAGGAGGGACTTGGCTGTGGAAAAGGGGTGGGTACAACCACTGTAGTGGTTGGGAATTGTGTGTATATGCGTGTGTGTGTGTGTTTGGGGGGGTGATGGAAAAAGGAAAAAACAGAGAGAAAATGGGAACGAAGAATCTCACGAGTTGTCTTTAAAAATGAATGAGAAAATGGGTAATCCCAGAGTCGCAGCATGAAAAGAGGGGAAATCAATATGCCCTCTCAGTTCACTGGGGCCCTCACAAGTCCTTGAGATGAACAAAAAGTTGTGCATTTTGTTGCCACATCCATACGTCTCAATAGAGAGGTGTGTGATTTGTGTGTGTAAGGTGAGTGTGTGTGTGTGAATTGTACTGTTATAGGAGATGCATCTGTGTGTGTGCAAGACAGCATGAGCACTGAAGAGGCAGCGTGTAAGGCATATCAGGGAAACTTTGGTTCATAATTTGGAGCTTGAGTGAATTATGTGACTGAATGGGACCCGTGTTAAATGTTCCGAGCTTCTTCCAACTTCTAAACCAGTCAAAAGCGTCTGAGAAAACCTCCGCCTTTTAATGAAAAACAGATAAGGGAAAACCGGGATTCTTTCATGCAGGCATTCTGTGTGCGTCACTTCTTTCTGAGAGGCGGAGGGATATGAGAGGACATCATACAGGTTCTGTAACCTTTGGACTGCCGATTCAATTGACCCCATGCACCAGCCTGAGAAAGGCCCCCCTCATAAGAATCCAATTCCACTTCCTGGCCTACGTGGAGAAAACTGGTCGCCGAGCTCTGGGATTGGATGCCCGCTCATGAATAATTAATTGCCACCAACCATTTGAGGCGGGGGTTTTGTAGAGCGGTGGGGGGGGGCGGTTAGGTAACAGGCTGCTGGGGGTTGGAATTGCCCTTTCTTCTAGACAACGCAAACACATATTCCTTTCTCCCTCTCATCCACCTGCATGTCTAAGAGCGAACAAGCAAGTGCACACCTTTTCCATCCATCCATCTGTCCGTCCATCCCCCACTCCACCACCCTTCCCTCTCTGTGCTGTCATGCTAAGCGATGCCCCCACCCCCCCAGTTGATTAGCGGGCTCTTCAGTAGCCTGTCATGGCGGATGTGCTCCATCAAAGCTGATCGACTCCCCGTTTTTCCAGAAAGATGTCGCGGGTTATCAGCGCGCGCTCAGATCTCCGGCTTCGGGAGGAGCGTGACTGGCAGGCCGTCTTTTGAAGACAGTGATTCCTCCACTGATGCCTCCCAGTTGGAAATTTAGAAACGTGTCTGCTAAGACGCCATATGCAAAGTAAATTACTGTACAGGGGCGAGCCCGACTAAACCCTCCTCTCTCTGAATGTCCAGGCCACTGAGTGCCTCCCAGGCAAGCTCACCTTCTCTGCGCTCATCCCCACCTTTCTTCTCATTTGGCTCTTCTAATTAGTCCACTTTTAAAATGGACAGCAACACCGGAAGAACTACACGGAACAAAACCAGCCGTAGATTTGATGGCTACACCTGCTTGAGTACAGGGGAAATCAATTAAACAAACAAGGGCAGAAAATCATAAATGTAACATTTTAAACATCATTTATGATTATCTTTAACATTTAGTGTGCATTCATTTACATATAGTTCAAATTTGATTCAAAGGTCAAAGGTCATACAAGTAGTGAGAAATAAATACATAAAAGCACAAGCTTCTGCCACTTTAAAACAGCTCCATTTTCTCCAACTCCCCATTATCATGCAAATGACATTGCTGGTTACAACTGTATGTCTTTGTAGTGGTAAAGTGTTAATTTCAGTTCAAAGGCTGTGGCAGTATTCTACAGGGAGAGAGATGGAGGGTAAGATGGGGATGGAGGGGAGGTGTGCCTAGTGGTTTAGCCTGGCTCAGCCTAGCTCTGACCGGCTCTTTGTGTTTCTATTGTCTCCATGGCAAAGCTGAATTAGAGAGTCAGGGCTAGGTGTGCCTTTAAAAACAAAAAGAAGGCAGGCAGCACTACTATAGGCTTACACATGTCAGCTTTACCTCCTCCAGGAGTAAGTCTGGTTCCTCTCCAAGTGTTTTCTTGTCTGTTCAATGACGACACTACAGGAGGGAAATGTAAGTTATGACACAGCGTCTTGGTAACTGAAATTCAGAACGGCTTTAATGACAAATGTAAGACAACACCGACACTAACAGAGATCACAAAAGTCATCTTCATAGTTAGGGGAGCAGCTCAGAGTCCGAAGGAAACTAGACAAATGGAAGATCCGGTTTGAATGGAAATATGAGTCATCCGGACATTACGGATGAAAACGAGCAGAATTTTGTGCATTCACAGTTTTCAACAAAGCTTTCTACACCAAGCCCTCCAGCTCCATCTCAACCACAGGGGGACACATCCTGCTTGCACACAAACATCCATGTATGTATGGCTGCAGCCCCAGTGATTTCCTCAAATAATGGGGGGCATTGTCATTTCTTTACGAGCACAAACACCATTAAAATGGTCGACAGCGCTGATGGGGGCGAAAGAAAAGACAGATAAAGGGCCGGGGAGAGAAAGAAAGCCATTCTGCTAGGACTGGTGCCGTGTACAAACGGAGAACATGGCTCCTCTTCTATCAGCCGTACACTAGAGCGTGTGTGTGTCTTTTTATCGGGGGGGGCGTCCAACATACGTGCAGCAGTGCATGTGCGCTTTTCTGTGTTTGCTGAATCAAACAGTAGAAGCCTCATTGTAGTTCTCAAACAGTGCCATTGTGGGGTTTTTCTTTGCTAGTATTGCAGGGCCTCCTTAAATACGTGTGTGTTTGTGTGTATGGTGGGGGGTGGCAGCATCATGGACACTCCTGGAGATGAAGCCCACCCTCCTGTTGTGATCCCACCACCGGAGCTGTTTATCTCGTTTAAGGCCCGCCCTTCGCCAGGGGACAGACAGCTCAAACGACGCTTGTCACAATCCCTTGTCGTCTTAAATGGCTGACAACATCCGGCTTTTTGTAATGGCGGCGAATCACAGAGGTTCCTTACCTTCTTTTACAAAAGAAAACCAGTATGTAAACCTAGAAAAGGAGGACGAGACTGACTTCTGAGGTGTGCACCAGGGATGCTATCGAGACACAGTAGAAGATCCTCTGGAAAACGATTTCCACTGATGAAATAAAAAGACTATTGCTTTATGATCACTCGTAATCATAACTGAATCAAGCGAGGCACAGCGAAGCCTGGATCTGAATGTGATTGGTTGGTTGTGTTTCAACTCTCACAGGACATCCATGCTGAGGACGTGGTGGGTGTAGGTAAAATGTACAGCCAAAGACTCCATCCTCTACGGCAAACAGGGAGAGGTTCAAAATCACTTCTCAGACATCAAATCATTAATTGCCCTCCCCTCTTGCTCGCTTCCCCCCCCCGTTTCCCTCCTGGAGTCTGTATGGAAGACACAGCTCCAGTCACTTAAGGAGGGTTAACACCCGTCTAAATTAAATATTAAAAGGTGTCTGTACCTGCTGCTATTGTTGCCCCTTGGAATAAGATATAACCTATTTTTGACAAGTTTTCATCCTCAGCTTTCTGCGGTGAGACGCTTGTCGAAAACCAAATCAGCACGTGGGGGGGGAGTGGTAGTGGGGCGTGGGGGGCATTGATGAATAATCTAGTTCATATTCTACCGACACCCGCCGCTCAGAGGGAGAGAAAGAAAGGGATGAAGAGAGGGAGAGAGATGGCAGGTGGAGAAAGCGAGATGGACAGAGGAGCAAAAGATAAAAGCTGGGGGGAAAGCAAGGGATGAGTAAAGGGAAAAAAAGGAGAAAAAGAGGGGAAAAAAGGGAGGAGTGGCAGATGATAGCCGGCGTCTGCCAAGGTATCACATGACAGTGCTCCTGTTTAAATAATAAAACAGGACGGGGGCTCTAAACAAATCGTTATCTTCCCACCTCCATGCATCCTGCCTTGCCTCTGCCCCTCCCTCCATTTTCCCGCTTTTAAAAACTTGTTTTAATGCCATTTCTTAATGAACATAATAGCTCGGTGCTAATAATGAAAAGAAAAGAAAAACATCTAAAAACGCAGAGGGGCCCCCGAGTTGTCGCCGGCGCTCAATTATTTCCTTGTCAAGTGGGTCTGTTTTTAATGAGGCCCTGTGGGACTGACGTCTGTCAGTCAGCCCTGACTTTTTGACACCATTACAACTTCAAATAGAAGCCGCCGCCACGCTGCCTTCCACCGCTCGCTCGCTCCTGCTCCGCTCATCTGACAGGCTGGGAGGGAGGGAGGGAGGGGGGGACAGGGAGGAGGAGAGAAAAGGTGGCAGGAGAGGTAGAGAGAAGGGGGGAGCAAAAGGGATGCAGAGGGAGAGAAAGACAAGAGAGATAGAGAGAGAAAGGAGGAGAAGAGAGCACATCGGGAGGCTGCACGTGGAGACACACGCACACTGGGTGAAAAAACAATCACCGAGGGTCATTATCAGTGGAGGTTTGTCAAACTGCCAGGGATTACCCCCCCTCCAGCGCCCTACGTACACGCTTCCTTGTTCACTTCCTTCCTTTTTTCATTATGCCTCCACTTTAATGTAAGTCTTGGTGGGTCGGCCCCGCATGGGACGGTCAGAAGCACAATATTTTGTCTGCCATTAATTTGAGGCTTTGAAGCAGACGGCAGTCGTGAGGGCCTGTGAAACGCTGGTTCATGGGGGGGGGTGTCGGGGGCTCACCACCCTGAAACCCCCGCGTCTTCGAAAATGAGGACCAAGGCCCTGAAACAGAATAGCAAATGTCCTCGCCGGGAAGCACCACACAGACCACAGGAGACGCATGCACACTCCCATACTCTACTCCTGTGTGTGCCAATATGGATGTGTGTGTGTGTGTGTGTGTGTGTGTGTGTGTGTGTCAGATTCATCCACCTCAACTTCTGAAAAGATGCTCTTAAATTTAGATTTTCCAAGACCCCCTGAAGAATGGCTTTCCCCTGAAGAATTAAGCAGCAGTAAACTCACACACACACATTTCTTTTTCAAACACCTGCAAATGTATCACATCATAAGTCAGCGTACAGATAAACACAGACACAAGGACTGCATCACAATCTTCAGAACTTGACAAGAAAAATATGGAACAAAAAGTGCCCGTTCTAAGACAAGTTAGATCCATTTATAAGAACAGAGGAAGAAGAAAAAAAATGCCTTAAAGATACAAAACTTGAAATCCACACATTTCAGTTGGTCCTGGTGTGCAGTCTACCTACGTCTTATCACTGAACACCCAAACATCAAGAAAACAAAAGATGTGGTTAATGTTAATTCTGAATACCCTTTAAGTTCATAAAATATAC